TAGGAATGGCATGGCAAGCAAGGGAAATTCTAGCACTCTGGGACCTTATGGAAACTAAGGAAGGGATTGCTCCCCAGAAACCAGACTGCACGGATTGGGGAAGCTGGGAACCAGTAGTCTGGCTGAAATTTGGTTCCCCACCACCACTGGTAGGGCTTCCTTGTGTGTCCCTTCGGGCCCCTTTAGTACATATTTTCACAAACGCTTATGTGTGTTCTCACAGGAAACCGAGGACTGGTTTGGGCTTTCAAATTTACAAATGTGTACCCAAATCCACTGTTGTTCTACAACTTGGCATGTGCAGCCACGAGACTATTTTTGGAATATATTAACAGAGCCTGGCGCATCTCTTTGGACTTCCTCATTTTCGTCTACTGGATGCATGGGTCACACGGCATTCCTGCATCCTCTGACCAATGGGAGTACAGAGCATTCCCAGATTGTTCCCTGCACCAGCTTCCTTGTGTGTGTGTCTTTGTGCACTACACATACCAGCTTTTCTCCAGAAGATGTGCCCAGCCCTTGCTGAAATTACTCTTAAGTTTGTTTCCTTGCGTTAGAAAGGCAGTATTAGTAGTTACCTAAACCTAGGACTGTCGCGAGGATGAGTTAATATTTTATCTACGGTGCTTAGAAAAGTGCTGGCACACAATGAAATTTCTAGAATTGGCACTCTGCTCGTTCTGTCAAAGCACTCTTCCCAATGGCTCTGCCCCACCTGCACCCCAGGGGAAGTCAAAAGCACCGTTTTGTTCATAACCTCTTCCACCCATGGAACAGTAAAGTCCTTTCGTTGTCGTAAACCTGGTATGTGAACAACGGTTTGTGATTTAATTTGTATCTTCAGGATCAGTGATGGTTAGGACCTCTTGGGGTCATTGGCCACAGGGATTCCCGCTACTTTGCATTAACTGGTGGTGGGAGTAGAACAGGGTCTGAGAGAGGTGGGCAAACAACAGACTGCCAATAAAGTGCCCTGGGCACCCATCCACGTGCTGCTTTGGTTACCTATGGTAATCGAGCAGTAGAGAGAGATCCCCCTCAGATGGCCAATCACAGAACAATTGCTGTCTGGCCCTTCATGGCGGGGCGCGGGCAGGAGGACCACTGATCGCTGACTGTCGACTTCCTCGCCTACTTTCCTATCTGGCCTGCTGTTTTCCTGGGCAACAGGGGCTTGCAAATCCTTTCTGGGCTGGGTGCTCCACATACATCATTAATTGAATCCTCACCGGCTGCCGAGCCAGGTGGTATTATGTCCCTCATTTTACAGATGGAAAACCAAGGCTCAGAGATGAGGTTCTCAATAGGAAAAGAGGCTCATGACCACAGACAGCAGGACAGGAAACGGAGGGAGGGGTGCCCACACAAGAGGACCCCACGGCCCAAAGTGGCTTGTCAAGAACCTGTACAACTTGGGCTCTGCAGCAGTCCAAGCGCCCTCGCCCCTATTGGCGAGGGCCCAGAGGGACGACCCAATAAACAACGCTCTGGTTGGCCGGGGCTGGACCAATGGGAAGGCTGCGACCTGGGCGTCAAAGGCGCGGGAAGCCACTCGGTGTTTGAGGCGATCGCATGCCTTGCCAGTGGTGACGGAGTTCTAGAAAGCCTAGCTGTTCCCGCGGTGGCTCTGGCTACGGTCTCTCCTCAAACCTGGCTGAGTAGACTGGTGACATGAGTTCTGCCGATGAGGCTTCTGTCCATGGGGACGGTTTTAGCCAGGAGGGTGGGAAGCCCGCAGGTGTCCGTCCTGCAGGCCGTGGAGCCCCACGGAGCCGGGCCCAGGGCCTTGATTTGGGGCCGCCACGGAGCGGGGAGGGTGAGGGCAGCCTCCCAGACCCCGAGGCTTATGAGTTGGAGTTGGAGGCCCCGTGGGAGGAGATCCAGGCAGGAAGGGCAATGATTCGCGGCCACGAAGGCAGGCCTGGCTCCTTGGCTGACGAGAAGGGGGACGCTCTGGACTTTGTGCCCCACCTCGCTGTGGAATCTGTGGCGGTTGTGCATCAGCTGACAGGCCGGGAACACCGGGGCACTCGCAGATACCCGTCCCCGGAAAGCTTTGCCACCGAACTGTCCGCCATTTGGGCGGATGCAGAGGCAGGCTTCAGCGCCAGAGGCTCGCTGTCCCGGAGCTGTGTGGAAGCGCCACAGGCCTCTGCCGCCCCGCTGAGCCGCCCCAGTGGGCCCGAGGGGAGCCGGGCCTGGGGGAAGCCCAAGAGAGGCACCAAAAGTCGGATGGTGGGCAGCGGGGAAGCCCAGCAGCCCTCTTCCGACCCTGAGTCTTCAGATGAGCTCAGCGAGATACAGCTGATGAGGGTGAGCATCTGCTCC